TGGCTACATCTTTACCGACAAAGTTGATAGTGACACAATGGTATCAATGGTAACTACTGGTTTAGAAAGATATAGTTCCTTGTCACAAGAAAAGGTTATGCTTATTATCAAAGGGTGAAGCGAAGCGAAATCCCTTTATGGAAATGTCTTGTCCATCCGTTTGTACCCACGATAACTTTAGAGCGGTTTCTAATTTCGGCATGCGATTTTCACTAACGTGTTGCTAATTCTTGAAGCATGAATAAGTTAGAAGATGGGCGTGGTAGGCCATGGCTCCCTGGGGATTAGGCCAAAGGTCAAAGGTGTCGAATTTTTTGTATTTATCGTTTCAGACGTTGTTTTGGGTAGGAATTTCAAAAGTCGACACAGGTCCTACCTTCGATGGCGATGTGACCGTGTCGCTTCAACCCTTTGCTACATTTCGTTTGCAACGGTTTATTTAGCAATGTACATACATATGTACATTCTTACTTGTGCTTTACTCAAAGTAGTATAAATTGTTTTCGTAGAGTATGTGTGACACATGTATTTACATGTACATAAGGATGTATGTAGATACTAGATACTAGGGCTGATAAATCCGTTCCTAATTTTCAAATCCGGATTTCGGATTATCCGTTTTCCTCGGGACCCAAATCCGGATTTAAATCCGGATTTAAATTATTTACTGTTATTATTTATTTCCTTGATCTTTGAACGAATTGAATTAGATATCATGCACACATGCATCCTTCTACCAAAATCCGAAAACCAGAAGTCGATATCTCTTACCGTTCCAAAATGGGGTCAAGAACCCTGGAGCAACCAGCAAAAGCTGTCCACTACCACGAAAAAGTGGTTACGCGCTCCAATAAATTGAGCTGTAGCAACTTTAGAAACCAAATAATTCAAAACCCGAAAATTTGTTATACACTACTGAGGTATGAGCTACAAAAAACTGCTAATCACAAAAAAATATCTGGTCGGCCCATTCGTCTCCGGTCACTTTGCATAATCCCTTTTCCATAACGGTTATATTGCAGAATTTTTATCCCATAAAAGTCACATGATATAAACAACCACTTTCCATAATATATTTTCTCATAAACTTTAAAAAAGAACTAATTTCTGATTAATGAGAACTAAAATCACAGCAAAAAATTGCAGCATAAAATTGCATAAAATTGCAGCATATCAACTCTAGTATTATAAATTTCAACAATATTCATTAACCTTATATCCAGCGTGTAATTTTTGTAGCTCCAATTTTCCATGTATCTGATCAGCCTTCAAAATTTCGACATAGTTCCAAGTACTTTGATGAGACCCATTACAAATGGTGTTCATTCTAAAATGTCAAACAGCCTCTATAGAGTTACTGGTACAAGGAGTAGAATTTTCAAAACCTGTGTAACTATTCCATAAAATTATCGGACGTCGTACTCAAATCCAACGTAGGCGTCATGGAACAACCCAGCCATTTTACTGAATCACTTGAATATTAAATATGTATTTTGCCGGGTGGATTTTGTGAAAGAAAAAAGATTAGGAGATGAACGAGTGGTATGCAAAGCAGCGGTATGCAAAGTGACCTTGTATGCAAAGTAACTGTTTAGGTTAAATGCGTTAGGGGATAATTTTGTATGCAAAATGCGTTATGCAAAGTGACACCAGACCCGTGTATCAGCACCCAAAGTGATAAGATTCGTAAAAATAGATATCTGCACTTTCGGAGCGTAATTCGATTCAGTACTTAAAGTTATCACCTAACATAATACATTATTTTAAAGCCTAGAAGTTGGCCATAAAATCCTATAAAGTTTTATAAGCTTACAAATACAGTGAAGAGTAAAATTAAAGTAACAACCCAGATAACGGAAAAACGACTCGACCTGAAGTCATCAAAATTGGTCGTCCCGGGCATTCCCGGGAAACGGGATCCCGAAATCCCGGGATTTGAAGAACTGAAATCCCAGGATTTCGGGATTTTTCAATTTGTCATTTATAAGTGAAATTGCTTATAATTTACAATTTTAATAGTAGTTTTATATAATTTTCGGTTGTATGATTGGTAAGACAAAGTTTCGATGAGCATAACCAGTCAAAATTGATCCTGAACTCGAAAATTTGAATTTTAAATAATATTGGTAGCCATATTTTTCGCACATTGATCTAAATTTTGTATGTATTTAATTCACTAGTTAAATTTTTATTACAAGATAGAACTTAAAATTTTCTAACTTTGATGTCAGATTCTAACTTGAGACAACAAGAACACCTTATTTTAGGTATAATTATGGAATCTGAAATCAGTTATGCCCAAAAATACTAACACGTTAGAAGTGATTTCGAATTTCATTCCATAAATTTAAGGCTGAATGAAAGGCTGTTTGAAGGTACATAGTTCGTATATTTGAGCTTGAAATTCTTGAATTGCCAAATTCCATGTCCAATTTTAGTTTGTGAATAATAGTTCGCAATTTAAATACTAATAAACGTAATTTGTGCATTTCTGGTTGATATGCTGGCGAATCCTTGGTTAATTATTTATGTTTTCTGGAATGAAACTATCAAACTTTTTTTCCTCCGATAGGTAGAAACAAAAACTTTCCCATTACGGTAAAAAAATTGTTTACCAAAATTCATTATAATAGTGGTATTCACAGTAACAGATTATAATCGTGAGGACGATTATAATCACAATCGATTATAATCATATACCATGAACGCACCAGATTATTGTTGTTTTTTTGATTATTTTGCCTAAAACATCCAGCAGGATTCATTAAATAGTATCATAGCAACGGCTACTTTTTCGGACGCTTTAAAAAAATTGCACTTGGATCAAGGATTATAGTCCAAATAATCATCCTCGGAGAGGATTATTTTTTGACGATTATAATCACATTGGTTTATTTTTTCCCATAGAGAATTTTTGGGTGATTATAATCGATAATGATTATAATCGCAATAATCGGTTACTGTGAATACCACTAATATATTTATTACGTAGCTTCAGGCTACTTTATGCTTTAAATTAAAGTCTGAGGCAAGAACTTTCTTAACAAATTAAAGTCGCTAAAGTAGATATTTGGTGAATAAGGTCCCTTTTCATGGAGACAGTCACATATATGCTTCACTCAGCAGATTTTGTTATCTAAGTTATGTTTTCTCTCCACTGGGGTAATTTTAACAACGTCCAACCCAGGTTTTTTATAGGTTTGGTAAACGGGTCACCGTAGCCCCATGAATATTTAACACTTATCTATGTATAAAGGCAAGAAAATTAATTTCCCTCGTGATCATTGGAGCACAGGATAAATATGTTCCAAGTTTTAAATACATATGTATCAGTAATATGCAGGGACGGTAAATTAATATGAATGAACATAAGTAAATTGAATTATAAATTATATGAATACATTTCTTTTTACATATCTATAATATAAGCTGGAAATGTTTGTCTGCAACGGAAGTGAAGGTAATTTTCCGAAACGGAAGTGAAAGTAAAGAAATCCAAGTCTCAAATGGTGCTAAAATTAAAATTTCAAAACGTAAATGTCAGAAGATATGATTCACTTTGCGGTGTGGTGTTACATACAGAGCGTTGCTTTTTTATCTGATAAAGAATTTGACCTTGAATAACCCCAGAACCGTTGTTCGTAGCGGGTCAAAATTTTGAACAGAGGAGCATGTTATGCTCAGATAGTTGTGTGCAAAAATTCAACTCTCTACTTTCAAAAATGCCTCCCCCACAGCCGCCAGAAGTTAAAGCACTCATTTTTACTCTTTCCAAACTTAAGTACCCGTCTAGCCTAAAAACAAAACATCTTAAAAGTGAAGGAAAAACATTTCCGAAATCTAGAATCAACAAGGAATTTAAAAATATAGGTGAAAAGCGAGAAATTTTTAGCAAAGGGCAACCACCACCCCCTCCTGGAAGGCAAGAAAAGTGTTAATTCCGACCGTGCTTAGGCAAATTGACCTCCTGACCTCCAAAGACAATCGACCGCCCCAAAAGGAAATTTCCCTTAAGGTTGGGGTGTCTAAGCGTTGAGTGAAAAGAGCAATTAAGATTTTGAAAACACGACTTCGTCGGAAACCTCGTGTGCATCAGCTGACCGAAAAACAAGAAACAAATCGCGCCCGCCTTTGCAAAAAAATTTATTCAAATTTTCTGTCACGGAACAAGAGTAAGGTTTTGGTGACATTTGACGAAGCACTAATTTCTCTACAAAATACTAATTGGGGTTGAAGAGCTTACTACACGATAAATGCCGAAAACAATTCACGCAAGTTGGTGCTTTCCCGTGAGGAGAACTTTTGTAACAAGTTTATGGTCGTGGGTGCAAAGTTGGGTCGTGGTGTCCTCCCACTTATCAAAGTCCCCCAAAAAGTGAAGGAATCTTCGAAGCATTATGTGGACCGTGTATTGAAACCACTTTTGGAATAAAATTTTACTAAAATGCACGGTAAAAAAATAATTAAAGTAATTTTTCATCATGACGGAGCGTCTTCCCAGACGGCAAATTTGACCCAAGATAATGCAAAGGACCTTGAAGCTAGATTGGGGATAAAAATCATTTCGAATAGTGAAATACCTGTATAGTCCCCCGATATAAGTCAAATGGACTTATTTGGGTCGGATACTTGAAAATAAAAATTTTTCTGCGGAGACCGAATTTTTTAGACGGAGTTTGGAAAGAGTAAAAATGAGTGCTTTAACTTCTGGCGGCTGTGGGGGAGGCATTTTTGAAAGTAGAGAGTTGAATTTTTGCACACAACTATCTGAGCATAACATGCTCCTCTGTTCAAAATTTTGACCCGCTACGACCAACGGTTCTGGGGTTATTCAAGGTCAAATTCTTTATCAGATAAAAAAGCAACGCTCTGTATGGTTATCATGAGTTGTTGGTTGTCTGTGGGTGGTGGTTATCGGGAGTGCTGATTATAATGTCAAATCTACACTCGCCCGGCGGGAGACGGGCTTATATGCTAGTATTTAATAGGAAAAATGTGTATAAGTTTTGAGCGATTCTGAAACACTGATCTATTTATTAATTCGAAATCTGAGTTACAGACCTTGTATGTATCATTTAATCCATTATTTTTGTGTAATTAGATCTTCAATTGATTTTGAACCAATCCATCACACCCTGTACCATGGCCGTTACACCCACAAAAGTTTCTTTACCAGATGGAATAATTTGATTAGGCGGTAGAAGAAATCGGTCTTTCCCGGTATCACGTAATTCATAGGTGTACGCAAATTTGATGTTGGCTACGCCTTTGACCCAGTCATTTGATGTTCCCGCAGCTAAATTTGAATTTATTCTCCTTAACAAATTACTATACTTAATAATCTTTCATTATTAAGGGGTGAAAGCTGTTTATACAATCGTCATGTCCGTCCGTCTGTCCATAGCTCCGATAACTTTTGAAGGGAAAGATACAGAGACGTGAAGTTTTGAACGTAAACTCTTAACGTCAAACGACAGGACGATTTCAAAAATGGACACTGTAGGTCACACACGTCAAGGTCAGAAGGTCATGAAATATCATTTAAGGGTCAAATCGCACATACATCAATTTGAACTGAAATTTAAGTCCGAATTCAATGGTGACCTCCATTTTGACCTCATCAGCTGTTAAACTTGATTCATGTCAGATTTGTTGAAAGCACGTCAGCCATGTAAATTTTAACACGTTTTTAACCGTGCAAACACATCATTGTATCCAGTTTGACGGATACCACACTGCTTTCACCCCGTTGTTACATTCGTTGTAACGGTTTATTTCATACCAGAATATAGAATCTGTGGTGTCGGGCCGACAATGTACTTCGTCCCGTTAACCGCTTCCAAGGCCTGGGCTCCTTGTTTGGCAACCTTCTCTAGATCACTCTTGTCAGGTATGAGAACATTATCATACGACCAAGGCAGGAGAAGTAGTTGGCTGTAGCTGTGAAAAGTTAGAAATAACTTAATTCTGTTCTTAATACTCAAAATGTATTTTTGGGAAGATGCCACTTCCGGTTCAGATGCGGGTCGTGGGCCTCGATATGTAATCTCGCATGAATCGTTTGATGTTCCTTTTCCGCCCCATTTAAAATCCCAGTTCCTGTTTGGATCTGGCAGTAAGAGATCCATGTACTTACATATGCTAATTGTTTTATTATCAACTGCTTAATACTCACCAACTCCGTAACAGGTTGAATTTACAGCCTTGGATCGAGTTTTACGCCACAATCTGTCGTTAGTGAATGTGTATTCATACCCATCAGGATTCATGTTGGGAACGATGTACCAGTCGACCTTGTTAATCAGGTCGTTCCTATCGCCGCTTACGGCGCGATTAATTATTTCATTTGCCATGTATGTGACCGTAGCGACAGATATCCATTCACGAGCTGGAAATAAAAAAATCGTCGTAGACGCACATAAGGAAGTAGCTTCGGACTCACTTCACTCAACCATTAACACGACATCGCGGGAACAGTCAATTTCACTTTATTGCATAGATAGATGTAATTTGTGTAAAAATCTCATTTTGTCCCGACCACACCCTCTGACGCCAGTGGGAGTGGTCTGATCGACCATAAAAATTTAATAGGATCCCCCTCGGGTCATTTGTATGATGCCTGAAACCGATTTTGATTATGCCGATCCGTTCACCTGTTATCCTGCTGACAGACGAACGGACGGACAGACAGACGGACTAGGTATTATCGCATACTGTAGCTGGAGCTACTTAATAATGTATATTTTGAAATATGTATCGCAAAAGTATAACACGTTCATACCATGAATTCCTCCATCTAACCACACAATTGGCTTACTCCCATCGTTACCCGTGGCAGAAATTTTAATGACTCGCATTGGCCTTTTTTCACTGCTTGAGCCGTACGTCTCGAGGGTTACAATCTTGGGATATTTACTCGCCATGGAATCCATCCAGCTTTGAATCTGATGTAAAATTAATGATTAGTGCGCTAGTACAAATAGTATTGAACGATTTGATATATATTTTTTATTTACCGTTGCAAATCTCTGGTACGCTATCCAGTTCATGTTACCCCCAGATTCGGCGAGAATTAGGTTGTTTTCGTTTTCGTGTGAGACAATATTTCTAAAATTTATAAGATTATTTACCATTACAACTACCGTCTCTAGGGAACGAAATAAGCTTAATTTATTTACTGTTGGTAGTTCTCAGATTGCACAGTGAAAGGGATACCGAATGTAGATAGCAAATTCTTGACGTTGTTTGCCTGTTCGGGGCATATCATGACATCCGTGGGACCGTTCCTGTTCGGATCTTCACCGAGAAAATTAAAAAGCTTGTTGGAACTGTACAGTTGTTGAAGAATATTTGCTTGTTGAATGCCCAATACATCGTTTTGCGAAGACACGTTGGAAATTGATAAAACCTGAAACCTTAAGATTAAGTATTTCCGTTTAGGTATTACTTTCCTTAAGGGGACATTGGCGTGCTCAACTTACCCTTCGTAACTTCTCCGACCGTTACTGTCGAAGTTTGGGCTGGTCATAGACATCAAACATGATAAAGTGTTAACCGTCAGGGCAAATTGCGACGCCGGGAGAGGAACTGCGTTCATAGTGTTGTTTCTTTAATCCTGTTAACTTGAAGTTATGTATCTAGTGGACTACCAAAGTGGAAATTGCTTGAAGTTTTATTCAAAATGACTGAACACTCTGATCATTTGTGGTAAATTGATTATCTTTGTAAATAGAACACAGGTGATTTGAAACATTAATAAATGGGATTAATTGATGAGTTGAGGAATATTGTAATTTCGTCGAATTGATTACTGAGGAGAGTATTAAAATTTGGGATGTTTTCATGTACCATTCAAGTGATTAATTGCTTCAATTAAAAGCATATTTAGGTTATCGTGTAAAATGTATTAGTAAAATCCAATTTTGTGGTTAATCACCTTATACATACAATTATTCTGAATGATGAGATATTAATTATGGTATCACTTGCTATTATCTCAAATCGGCATAATAATGTAGCGATTCAAATTTGTAACTTGTGGTTGCATTTTCCAACAAAATTTAATCAATTAATGAAACACGGATTCAATAAAATTTATAACACTTTTAACTCTCCTTTATCTTTCCTTCATTTATACATACATAAATATTTAGATTAACATACGCTGCATAGAATTCTAAATAGCATGTGTTCACTTTACCAGTCTAGAAAGATGGTAAATGTATCATTAATCTTGCAGTACTTGTTATTTAGTACGAACAATGCAAGTCTTTTACGTGTACAACTCAGATCTGGTTGGGAGCAATTTTATTTTGTTCACCAAAAAAAATAAGCCTACCCGTATTTTTTCATTTTTCATAATGCGCTAATTTGAGCCCGTGGCGCGAATTTTTAAACATTTTTCAGCCAAAACCTCGGTTTTTAAAAATTCTGTAAATTTTCTAATTTTAGCGCGAATCCAAAAATTCGAAAACATGTCTCTTCAGATTGATTTCTGAAAAATTTGAAAGAGTTCATAATTTTAATGAATTTGAAAAACTGGCAAAAAATTTTGAAATTCAAATTTCGAGATAATTGGATTTTTCGTAAGTCAAGTAAATCATTCTGAAGAGACATGTTTTCGAATTTTTGGATTCGCGCTAAAATTAGAAAATTTACGGAATTTTTAAAAAGCGAGGTTTTGGCTGAAAAATGTTTAAAAATTCGCGCCTCGCGTTCAAATTAGGGCATTATGAAAAATGAAAAAATACGGGTATGCTTATTTTTTGTGGGACACAAAATAAAATTGGTCCCAACCAGACCTGAGTTATACACGTAAAAGACTTGCATTGTAAGGGTGTCATAGCACGATATATGTGCTATGACAAGTACGACTGAGCTAACGACGTCGAACCTTCACTCCGACAAAGTAAATATGTACGACTGAACATTTCGTTCTATTTGCACCCAAAAAAATAAGTATTTGGATTACCCTTTTTAGGCCTAAAATTTCTAAATATGTTCACTCACTCAGCCCGTTTTAACACAGGGTAAAGATACACAGTTAAACATAGCTTAGATTTACGGGTCAATTATGAAAATGAAGACGAAAATACGTTCATCCACGAACATTCAAAAATGTACGTAGATATTTTTATTTTTGTGCGTCAACAATTTAAAATTCGTCCGATTAATGTCGAAGAAAATAATTTGATGCTTACGCATTGCCAGTAAAGTGATTTGTATAGTACAGTTTTTTGCAACTCATAAGGAACGTCGATATACATATTACGTCATCATTTTAGTGCGTGGGTGGTTTCGGTCTTTCCCATGTTAGAATTGCCTATCCATTAAAGTTTACGATGGGTGGGTGAGTGCTAAAATTGAGAATTTTTGATGACGTAATATATGGATGGCCACTTACAAAATGTCATAGCTGTCGTAATTTATTTTTCGATACAAAAAATACTAAGGATTCCAAGTAATGAATTCCCGAAATGTATATAGTTCATATGTAACCTAAATTTCAATTTTTTGTAATTTATTCAGTATTTGCCTTTATCTTCTAGGGCTCTGGTGGGGGGCTCAAGCCCTCCTAGCCCCCCCCCCCGTGGCTACGTCGCTGGTCACTAGCTTCATATATGGTTGAAAAAAATTATTGAAACGCTAATGATGTAAATTTTGTCTTTGTATAAATGGCTTTAAAAAATTCTCGTTGCTTGATGAATTTTTTAAGTGATACGATATGTCCATTACAAGTTATCGAATTTGAAGAATACGATTATTAATACATACATATATACGTGAAATTTAATAAGGGAGAAATATACGTAATTTTCATTATTTACATAAGTAAGCTATGCTTAGTGGGCTTATACACAAAATATGTATTAAAGATTATATATTCAAAAATTTGGAAATATTTAAATGTAAAAAGACGTGTATGAACGCGTTTATATGTAATCCATTTCTGTCCCCAAATTGTGAAACCAACTTGACGATATATGTATATGTAAGTTATTAATTTAATTTTAGTAGTTTCATTTTTAACGTGAGACTCCATGAGTCACAACCTACGTCACAACAATGACGTCACAACTCCACACTTTTACTTATTTCTCAGCTACCAGACGGAATTTAAGAATTCTTTCTCATGCCATTATAGATAATGTTGTTGTCCTACTCGAAGAAGATATCCAATATTTCAGTGGTTTTTGAAAGCTGTGGTACAAAAAGTATGTAAAAATCATAAGACCACGTGTCATATTAAATCTGCACATAAGCAAAATCGGCTTGTGAGGGTGATTACATGCGAAATTTTAGCTAAAAATCAAACTATGTATGTACCTATGTAGAACATTTAAAACTTTGGGGTGAGGATTTATGTATAATTTACAATTAGTCCTCGTCACCCGCCACTATCGTCACTTTACCCCCATTTAGATGGGATGGGATGGGATGTGCGCCACCGCCTAGCAGACCTCCCAGTAGGCCTTGAGGTCCTAATAGAGGATCAAGAACTCTATTCCCGTTATTGTACCAACCCTGTCCATAGTTGCCATATGCGGAACGGTAAAAGAACGAATTTTTTAAATATGAGTCAACGGTTTTTGTGCACATGATAAAATTAGTTTGCGACACACATGTAAATTATGAGGGCGAAGGGATTACTATTTTCGTGGTGAACCTTATCGAAATATATCTTTATCTTTATACATATGTACATACATGTACTTACATATATTTACATATAAATATATGTATACTTAAAGTACATATGTACATGTACTTTACACGTGCATTGGTGGGGCGAGGCGAAGGCTAATCAGTAATTTAAATATTTGCTCACCACCCGCCATAAATGATGAAGGGCATGTTGTTCATCTGTCGACCCTTCCTCCCTGCCGTCACCTTCCAGCTGAACTCAGGCTGTATAGGAATAGTAGATAAATAATATGAATATGTGAAAAAGAGAATATTACTAGTAAATAATGAAGTATGTAGATAAATACTTAAGTATACCAACTCAGTTTTCGTCATGGGGGCGCGGACAAAGTTTTGCGTGTTCTTATCAAATCTGTTGTCTGGAAGAAATACAGTTAAGCCGTGCATAGTTATTTTTACGTTACTTTAATTAATTTAAATAATCGGAATCCATCCCAGATAACAATTCGAGATTTCGCTGTGAATTCCCTATCAAATTCTCAGCGAAATGTCCGCCGATTCGCTAGCGAATTCGTGGAGAAATGGTGGAGTCGCTACGAGTACGCTTCGATTTCGCCAGCGAATCGGCGGACATTTCGCTGCGAATTCGATAGGGAATTCACAGCGAAATCTCAAATTGCTATCTGGGATTATTTTAGAAAATTTCCTACGATTACTAGATAAGGAATTTTGTGAATCTGGGATACTTGAGTATTGCATCCGATCCAGGTCATTAGCTCCGGGGGGAAGCGGAGATCCCAAAATGTTTGGGACCAGTATGAAGACCAAAGTTTGTAAAACGAGCTGAATTAAGGTAGTAATCGAAATTATTTAAATTTAAAGGATAAACTTAATTGAAATTCGAGTTAGCTATTTTTGCTCCTGGCCAATTTCCAGTTACAATTGATAAATATGTCATTATAATGTAAAAAGAAACTCATTTAAAAATATCAACATTTTCAACAAAGGATCATTCTAAATATAAGTTGTAGAAAATTTACCCAAGGTTGAGTAAGAAAGAGGATGACACAAAATGGGGTAAACTTTATCCAACGATTAAGTAAAATTTGTCCAACCGTTGTATACATTTATCCAATTATCATCCTCCTTTTTACTCAACCTTGGGCAAATTTAGCACAATTTTTATAAATTTAAAAATATATGCATATGACTTTACATTTTGAACCATTCCTATTTTCCCAACTATAGTGAAGTATGTGTGTACACACTTTAATTTTACGAAATATTTCTTTTATCTTGCAAAATTATAAATATCTGTAAAGCTAGCACCCTCACACGAAAATATTTTCAGCCGACTGCTGACGACCAACTGAATGAACACATGAAAATGTGCCTTTTGTAAAACTACTTAATAAGTTCAATAAGACCATTTCAATCGGGAAGTACTACAGCAAAGCAAGTTTTAATATACCCCCGTCGTCGTGGAAACTGTACTTTGTCACAAATCCAAAAGTTTATTATCGCATTAAGGAAGCCGAATCTCCAATACCTGGCATAGCACAAAGCAAAAAATCCAGTTTGTGCTCCTTGTATTTGAAAAACAAGTCCCAGACCCCAGGTTTTAAAGAAGCTGTAAAAACTGAAGTGGTTTTTTTAGGAAAAATATAGCTAACAAATATTATGTGTAATATTTGCAAGATAAAGTAACTAATAGCGTGAAATAATTATAAATTGGCAACTAATGGCAACAATTAATTAATATGAAGTTAATAACTATTAAATAAACTATTTTACCTTTTTAAGCCTTCTTAAATAGCTATGTTTTAGGCCTTTTAAGATGGCCTTATAGATTTACCAAGATGTCTGTCTGTGCGTCCGTCTGTGCGCACGATAACTCTCTTTAAACACAAGCTATCGAATTTTGCACACTTCATCTTCGGGTCAAAAGTAAGGATGAGTTCGGAGATGGGCATGATCGGCCAAGTGGTTGGCCGGTGGGGGTCATTTCCACCCAAATGTGTTGCTACTAACTACCAACATGGTATTAATGCCAT